CTCCATGAATTATTTTTATATTGGATGCCAACCTAGCAAATGCATGACTCTTCATGCACACTGCCAGCCTGCTACCAGCCAGCCCTCTGTCTTTCACTCCCCATTGATACCCTCAACCTCCCAGGCCAGAACCCTGTGCTGAGTACCAGGCAAGGGGACACGCAAGAAAGCGTGGGCTGGTGACACCAGGGGATTGCCCTTTCTGTCTGTAACTGAAACCCGGTGCCCAGCACGCGCCCTGGATCCCCCCAGCCATTGTGTTCAGTTTCTGCGGCACAGCTCTCTGCTGGGCTGCTGTTAGAATTGCACAGTGACCTGCGGATCTAAGGGAAAAAACAGATGTCCCAATAAATTTTTGTCAAAACGTAATTACCTCGGGATTAGAAAACCACATGGGGGTGGGGAGGGAAAGGAACAGATGTATTACTTTCAAATATGCAATTGCTATTCTGCAGAAGTTTAAATAATCAAGAGGATTAAATGATGGCAGTTGAGAGTGCTCCCCTGTTTATTTTGGTCCTCTCTTTCTTTACCTTCAGCTCTGGACGGTTTGGAAGGCTCTCCTCCTCGCCTTGCACGAATGGTGCTCCAAGCAGGAGGGGAGCATGTTGCTCAAAGGATCATCCTGAGTGCTTTTTCATAAATAAATCTCAGCAAATATGACAGGCTGTCTCTCCCTCAGGAACCTGGCCAAGTCTTTTCTTCCTCTCCAGCCGACAAAATATGATAAACTATGAGTTTTCCCAGTAACCATAAAAGATTCTTATTTTCGTGATTTGAATTGCTGGGTGCAGGTCAAGGTAGTATATCAAACAGGAATTCTTGGGGGGAAAATCCTTTTTCTGTTTTCTGTTTGCACATTTTTCAAGTCGGAGGGGGTGCTGGGTGCTGATTGAAGATTCATTGGGTTATTTGTTAGCTGGTTGTCATAAGGCTCTTAAGGTGAGATGTTCATCTCTTTTAAGTATTTGCTTATAGGCCAAAGGGAAGGAGTAGATTGGGGGGAAACCCTGAAGTCCCCAAAGATCCAAGGTTCAAGAAGCCATCGTTGCTCCAGGTTGTTAGACTGTGTCACCATTGGGTAGAGGTTCGGTGAGATGTTATTACACTGCTTTCCAGCCTGTCTTCAAAACAGCCCGACCTGGAGCAGAGCTGAGGATCCCTTTGTACTTTTGGATTATGGGAATTCAAGCCATATTTTTAAGGCTTTTACCTTTATAGAAAATGGTTTTTGTTTGGTAACATAATAAGTTAATCTTCAGAATAATTACCAGTTATCAGGAGTCTACTCATTGCCAAGGTCCGTGCTAAGCTCTGTACATCTATGCTCCCTTATCCTCCCAGAGGTAAAGGAGGCATTGTCACCCTAATGGGGAGATATAGTAATTGAGGCACAAAATAGTCAAATAACCCTTTCACATATTCACAAAGGTAGCAAGTGAGAAAATTCAAGTTTGAATTCATGTGTTAATGTATACAAAGACTTCATCTATCCATTATCTTCTTATTCCTTGAGACATAAGGAATGTGTGTGTGTATGTATATATATATCATACACATACAACAACTGAATATGCTCTGAAAATGGAAATAATAGATTGAAAGAGCAACTTGTGCTATACTATCCTGGCCATGATATATACACTTTCTGCATAGAGAAGTCATTTATAATAGGCCTATTTTGCATCCATTTGCAAATAGTGGAATTATGTGTAAGCTAGATTTATGCGATCTCACCATTTTAGCCCATTACAGATAGTCTGGAGCCAACCACACATATTTAGACAAGAAAGAGTTAAAAAGGAAATCCTGCTGGAGGCAGTAAGCAGAAGAGAGTTGAGTCCAGCTGCTTCCGGGGGATATCTGATAGAGGGAGGCAGTCAGGAAACAACCGCAGGGAAAAGAATTCTCAGGAATGGGGGTGTCTTCCTGGTAGCCATCAGCTGGAAGTTATCTTTTCCCACCTAAATCCAGAGAGGCTTGTAAAACTCCAAAGTCCACAGCAGCATGAGGAAAGAGATCTTTTTGCAGAGAGAAAAAGAGAATGCCTTTACCCTGGAAGAAGTGATACCTTTGGAGGATCCAGAGCCATGTGGATTGGTAAGCTAGCAAATAGAGGAAGTCACAGAAGTTGTTATTGGAGAGGCTGAGAAATTTGAAATTGGTTAAAAGCCCTTATTTTAAGAAAGGATGAACCCAGTATGAGACACTGACATGGACAAAGGCACTCGAGGGCAAAGCCCATCTAATAAGATGGGAAAGAGAATAGAGGCTCAGACAGTACTGGGACAAACACTGTCCTTGACCAAACTTGAGTCAGGTTCCTTTGAGTCTTCTTTTGACTTGACCTTGGGCTCTGTCCTTGATCTGCTTAGTCCAATTTTATTTTGCAAGACTCCTGCTGAGCCAGTTGTTCAAAAACCTCCCACACTTGGTATCTGATCATGCTGACCTGCCTTCAGCAAGTATCCTTCTGAGTTGGTCTTACAATAACCCCCTTAGCCTCTTTTTATATCTGTCATCCATTGACCCCACCCTGATCCTTGGCTATAAATCTCCACTTGTCCTTGTTGTACATTAAGCTCCATCTCTCTCCTCTACTGCAAAACCCCTATTGAAGTAGCACATTTTAAATAGTCTTCATTACTATTAGGGTCTGAATAATAAATTTATTATTTATTAATATACAAATTTATTAATTACAATTATTATATTTGGAATTGTAAAGTAGGCAAGAAAATGGAAATGGAAACATTAACAGAACTCAACACATGTAAAAATTGCCTCCATCCAAATGCTATTTGAAGATAGAATGCTTCATGTTGATGTCTGAATTGGTCAGTCTCTTACAACATCCAGCAGTAAAATGCGAAATATAATATAACCTGATTACAAGATTAAATTTAAAACTTTGTAAATGGTATGAGATTTCATAAAAATGCTGTTGGAAAATCACTTTAACCACAGCATTTGCGCATCTCGTAGTTTTAGATCAGTTAATATTTGAAGAATAGAAAATCACCAAGGAAGGTCATATGACAGGTATGTTGGAAGACAATGACTTATGTGTCAAAAGGTTAAGGAAGCCCTGAGAAATGACTCTCTTTATGATCATTTCATTAAAGTCACATGTGAAGGGAAGGAGATATTATAATGAGCAGTGATACAATTGTGTCAAAAAATGATGGCCTTAAATTCAAACACTTGATCCTTTTCTTTGTTTTGAAAATTAACAGATTATAATCTAAACTGAGACAAACTTGCCTTCATAGTTTTAAATTTCAGTCAAGTCCTTGTTTTAAATGTGTTCACTTTAAGTGAATTTTCTGCTGTAAATTAACCTTACATAATGAGACTTTCATTTATATTAGTTAACCAGATATGGTTCATACTTAAGCATCAACCCTTATCAATTAATCCTTTCTATTGCTTTTATGAAATAATAAGTTAAAATAATTCCATCATGTGTTGTTAAGAAGCACCTGAACAATAAATTAAATTGACTGCTTGTAGAAGAAGGCTTGAGGTATTTTCAGGGAATTCAGAGAAAAAAGATATGGAGATTAAGACAAAGCAGAGATGAAGATATAAATATATCTTAAATGATTCAGCAAAAGGACTCTCTCTATTTCTAAAGTTGAGAAATGGAAAAGTATTTATAAATATAATAAAAGAAAATTTCCTCAAAAGGGCATAATGTTCATCAAGAGAAATTTGATATTATATGTAACATGTACTTTAAAAACAATGGATAGATGTCTATCAAATTCAAAGGGAAAGAATCTTAACAGACTAGACACTGTTCTTCAGATATAAAGATTAATCCAAACATCCTGAAATAGGAACAAACGCAACAGACATGGCACCCATAAGTCTTCCCTGAAAAAAGTAACTGATGAAAAATTACTCCAAACAAGTTGAGTCAAAATAAAGAATTTAGGAATAGACAGACTGTAGTAAAAACTGGTGATAAACACTGCATTCATTTAAATATGAAACTAAGATGAGACAACCAAGAGAACAGCAGTTGCAAAAAGGAATAAGAAAGTCATAAACAGTAACCTAGAAAAAGAACAGAAACAACAGAAATTGGACACTAGAAATATGGGAAATGAGAGGAAGTAAAAAATGATAAAAATCACTTCAGGTTTTAAAGCAGTGAAAGTGAAGTTGCTCAGTCGTGTCTGACTCTTTGTGACCCCAGAGTTAACTGGTATTGCCTAAAGGTGATGCCAGTGGTTAAGAACCTGCTGGCCAATGCAGGACACATAAGAAATGCTGGTTTAGTCCCTGGATTGAGAAAATCCTCTGGAGGAGGGCATGGCAACCCACTGCAGTATTCTTGGCCAGAGAATCCCATGGACAGAGGAGACTGGCAGGCTATATAGTCCATGGGTTTGCAAAGAGTTGGGCACAACTGAAGTGACTTAGCAAACGCATGCAGGCAAAATGTGGATACATTGCTGTATAAAAAGGTCCCAACTTCTTAATGGTTTCAGTGATCTCTCCTGTTTATCTAAGAGGACTCTTAGCAATTAATATCTTTTGTGGTGAAGAAATATTTAATCTGATGGTCTGCAGTTCCTTTGATTTTTATTTTGCTCTGTGTATTTGGAATAATGTTAGCAGATGGCCCAATCACACTCCTACTGAGAACCACTATTTTGTGCATGAGGACATTTAAGAATACTCCAGGCCTCTGTCTGCTGAGAGGAACATTCAGGTCAGAGATTAATCCAACTCCAGTTCACATTGGTCAACTACCTCAAACAAACATTTAGTTACAGAAGAATCAGCAAATGCTCAGCTACATCCTGCCTGCTGATTTCTGGACAATTCTTTTTTGTGCTGTGCTGTGATTAGTCGCTCAGTCATGTCCAACTCTTTGCAACCCCATGAACTGTAGCCTGCCAGGCTCCTCTGTCCATGGGGATTCTCCAGGCAAGAATACTGGAGTGGGTTGCCATTCTCTTCTCCGGGGGATCTTCCTGACCCAGGGATCAAACCCAGGTCTCCTGCCCTGCAGGTGGGTTCTTTACCATCTGAGCCAATAGGGAGACCCTTAACCAACAACTAATGAAGTCCAGTATAATCCTAGGATACAAAGAGGAATTTAATCTATAAATTGTGCTGCTGATCCTTTTTACATAAGTTACTGAGCACATTCCACCAACTATCTGTGAGACCTCTGAAAATACCTTAATGCCTTTTCCCAAAACAATGTTTGTTACATTTTTCTTAGAGGTAACAAAGCTGAGTGCAAAAGGGCACATATTTGCATAATACATTACTCTAGGATGCAAGGGAAGTTTGAAGATTTCAGATTTGGACAATAAAGACAATGCTCTTTCTGTTAAAAAAAAAATGCTGTGTCTGTGCTTCCCTTTCTGAGATCTTTTCAGCAGAACATAGCATGTTTCTGTGCCCCATCCCTCCATTCTACCTGAAGCATACATTCCTGGTTGATTTAATTTGCTTGAGTCTGATTTTGGGTGTTCTCACAAATTTGTACTATGTTATAAAAAAAAAAAAAAAAAGGAAAGAAAAGACATGCTTTCCCAGTAAACTCTCCCTCCAGAGGCCCTTTATTCAAAGGGGCTTTGGGAGTTTCTTTCCCTAGATTAGAGATCCTGATACCATGTTTTCTAAAACTATACTCTTTGAGTCCTAATTAACTTAGTTTGAGTAAAAACTCTCTTGATTATCAGAAAAAGCAGCAAGAGTAAATGACAGTGGCATTGCTAGGTCCTAAAATGACTGCATATGGGCATGAGATCTAGGTGGCCTTTGACTACTGTACAATTGTCACCGCTTCTTCCTAACAGATAAAGACCAATTGGTGGTTTATTCATTCGGAAGATGTGTCATAGACTTGAACTGCCTTAAGCTTTTGTTGGTGTGTGGCCTTGGGAGAGAGACTGAGGAAGGGAAAGTCTCTATTGTATTCAGGATACAAACGACAGTGCCACCTATTTCAGAGGACATCCTAAAGGAAAGAAAATTTATCAGACAAAACTTCCCTTGGCCAGTGCTTACAAATGTTTCTGGTGGCACATTTCCCACTCAGGTGTGATTCATTTTGAAATTTTAAGGGCTGGATTGATGGCATGAAATAGGTACCATGCTCTAAAGGGCTGTCTGTACTCTATCTTGTTTCTTGATATTAGCACCTGGGTTATTATAACAGTCCAGCCATCTAGATAGTCTTTTAAGTCTGTACTTTAGGAAGCCAATAAAAGGATACATTTAGATAAGATAGAATCTGTGCTCTGCAATGTCCCTCAGGGAAAAGTTGTTGAACATGTTCTAGTACCATCCAATGAATAAGATATACAGCTGATTCTGCAGATCATTTCCGGTGCTTTCTCTAGTTTGAATGATTACCGTTAACATCTGTGTGTCTCTCCCATATTGCCTGTGTTGGAATGTTCTGGCCCTTATTAAAAAGTTGTAATTTTTCTTTCTGTATTTGCTCAAGGCTTACATTTTAGGTATACATTTTATGTATAGTCATTTTCAATAATTTTCTACAGAAAGTGAGCCTCTTTGGCAGAGACTTAGTGATATGCAGTAGTACATGGGGAAAGTGTACTTCCCTGCTCACCCCCGTGTATTTGCATGGGGCAATGTGACAAATCCTGGCCAGTTAGGAGTGAGTGGAAAACCCACATGTCAATGAAATGCCAAGGACCAAGGACTGTGTGCTCAGTTGTGTTCAAGTCTTCACGACCCCATAGGCTGTAGCCCGCCAGGGTCCTCTGTCCATGGAATTTTCCAGGTAAGAATCGTGAAGTGGGTTGCCATTGCCTTCTTCAGGGGATCTTCCTGACCCAGGAAACCCATGTCTCTCGTGTCTCCTGCCTTAGCAGGCAGATTGTTTTACCACTGTACCACCTAGATTGTGTCTGTACATCTGTCAGCTTGCTCTTTTGTTACAGCAACCATGGGGGCATGTGTTGATTGGGGGAGTCAAAAGATTGAAGTGGAGTGGGATCCTGAGCTAACAATTGGAGCTTGGCTGCCCAGGAGAGACCTCCAGATCTGTAGAATACTGCAAAAATAAGAAATAAAACATTGAAATTTTTGTGGACTGTTTGTTATCACAGAACAACCTTGCTTGTCTTGACTGCTACAGCTTCTCTCTAACGCACTCTGCAAAATGGTGACCATTTTCCTTGTTCACTAAAATTATCTTTCTGATCTAAGAGTTCTTTGTCTGGTCTCTATTTAGGGATACTGTTTTCTTTCAGTCATATTTGCTTTCAATTCAGGTACATGGGTGTGGGGCAGATTAATAAGACACTTGTTCAAAATGAGGCAATTCTGTTTTAGAAATCCTGCTGTAAACACACATTTTCATTCAGTTAATTTCCATGGTACTTCCTGTGTAATACCATTCAACATTCCTTAGAGGTACATGTACTTGCATATTATTATTAAACCCCCTTGTACTTGATGTCACATAAGCTTTAAAGATTTTGTTTCTTTGAGATAATAGGATCATTCTAGATTAATACTAATTTGTGAACTATTAGTTTCCTGCACTTTTTAAAAGACCAGTATTCAGATATTCATAGATCTCTTCTTGGGCATTCTGAATGCTTAAAAATGTGTATATGTGTATCACTTGTTCTATTAAATGGTTGTGGCACGTGCCTTATGCTGTCTCTCTGCTATGTTATGTTCAGAAATGAAGAGTCTAACTATTAACATTACTAAGGAAATATTTCTGAGCACCGATGTTTTAAAGCAGGTACTTTGTGATTACATGTGAGAGACTACCATTAACAACAATACGACAAATCCATAACAATTCACTTGTTGCCCAATAGCTCTTTCACATGCATTATTTTGACTGAGTGCAAGCTAAAACTATCTAGATTATTACTTTCAGCATTAAATAGATAAGGAAATTGAAGCTTGGAGTTCAGAAACACTTTCCTTTTGGCAGACTAGATCGTAAAATATGCCTTTAGATTGAGCTTTCCGTATATTTGCATTTTCAATTAATACTTAAGTTATTTGGATATAAGAAAGAAGTTGAGAATAGAATTTTTCAAATTGAATGTGCAGTTTAGAACTTCTCTCTTGGGATCCATTGGTAATTGGTAACTGAGTGGAAACATGCAGCCCTGCATGTTGAGATCTTTGCCTCCTCTTTTCTCTCCTCCATGGTCCTCAGCCCTCACGTGTATTCCTCCTCCCAGAATGGAGAACCCACCATTGTTTTTCATTACTGCACATAGTGCCTCTCTGCTGTGGGGACTTATATTAACTGTTGGACTCAGTCCCTCTGGGAGGGAGGAATATGGGATGACCACTTGTAAAGTGGCCATTCTAAAAGAGCCATCTCAAATTCCCCAAATAAACATTGAAACAAGATGTTGTATTAGTATTCTAGAAGAGTCAATTGCACAGCATCACCGACTCAATGGACATGAGTTTGAGCAGGCTCAGGGAGATGGTGAAGGACAGGGAAGCCTGGAGTGCTGCAGTCCATGGGGTCACAAAGATTGGACACGACTAAGTGACTAAACAACAGCAACAATTCTAGAAGAGAAAAGGAAAAATCATTTAATCTGAAATATTAAGAATGGTATGGTGGTTTAGGTGATATTTTTGTTTTTGAAACAATTTCAGTGAGTAGCAGGTCTATGTCACATGTACTTGATACTCTTTCTTTGATTAGAGACATTTATTACAAGTGAAAATTTAGAGGTTATCTCATATTTAAGAAGAAACAAATTACAATATAATTCAACAGTATACTTCTGGGTATGTACTCATCAAAGACCTTAGATCTTTTCCAGTTATCCTACTAATGTGCCTCCCACGCGTTCTGTTATTCAGGCATCTATATAATACAGGCTTTGAAAAAAGAAATATTATGTGCTGGTTGTAGAGGGATAAAAAGAGATATTTATCTCAAAGCTGTCTGGGTACTTTCTAATTACTCTTACCTATGGGAACCAAATCACTGGACTGTTATTGAATTAGACAAGAGATCTAGGTTCTAAACTCATCTCTGTTCCTACCTGACTGGATGAGTTGCATGCACAGTCTTCCCAGGCCTCAGTTTCCTCCTCTGTAAAAGGAGAAGTTTCCACTAGATTATCTCTAAGGTCTCTCTAGCACCAATATTTTTTGTCCTTCAACACTCAGAGAATCTAATGGCAACATCTGGAATTGATTCATGAAGGAAAGCGTAATCATACCATTTGCCCGCACTCCTTTTAGCCTCAAACTACTATAACTTTTCATAGTCACAGAATATCCCTTCTCAGATGATACCATAAATTCAGAAGATTACACTGGGCTTCTCTATAACTTTTCTCTAATGGGCTAAAGGAAATTGCTCCAATTGAATTGGCATGCTTGCAAACAACCAATCTGTGAAATCAGTGGAATTCACATAGTCTAATTTCTTTTAAAAATGTAGTTTAAAGGGCCCAGAGCCTACTTTCCCCATTGGCATAATTTCACATGTTTATGTGGCAAAGGAAAATTACTTCTTCCTGAAGTCAAGATGGAGAGTAACTTAAATGTCATAAAGTGAATGTCTTCTAGGTGAATTGTTTAAAAGTTTATCCTGTAACGTGACAAAGGGTACATTTTGGCCAAAACTGTGGCAGTTCTCAAAGATAAAAGTTTTGATAATTTTTAGAAAATGTATTTTTAAATTTTAAAATAAGTGTATGTTTACTGAAAGTTGTTCAGCTGAGAATTGTTCAGGGAGACACAGACTTGTCACATGAGTTTCCCATAGATTGTCTGGCATGTTTATAATGAACCTAACAAAAGAGAAGGCATACATACGCACACGAATAGGGAGCATAAAAATGTAACAGTGATATGCATTTGATTGTGTTAAATGAAAAATACAAGTGATGGTATCAAAACACTACACCCAATAACTGAAAACTAATGATCAAGCATTAAGAACAAATGCTTGATCAAATACTATTTGAGTAACTCACCATTGGTAAACAGTTTTCCTTGCTTGGATAACAAATGAAATCCTTTAAAACTTAGTTTGGCTACAGACCTGTTTTCATTTTTTATTTTTGTGAAGAAATTTTTCCACAGAAGATATTCCATTTTAATTAAAAAATTTTCTGACCACTGCTTTTCTGTGATGAATGCTTGTCTAATAATATAAACATGCATTGTATTCTTTCAGCACAGTGCATGTCCTTGCATAATAAAACCATGCTTTTTGAAAATTATTTTTATTGAAGTATAGTTAATTTACAATGTGTTAGTTTCTGCTGTATATCAGAGTGACGCAGTTATGTATTTTTTTTAATATTCTTTTTCATTATGTTTTACCCCAGGCTATTGAATATAGGTATCTGTGCTATACAGTAGGGCTTTGTTGTTTATCCATTCTGTATATAATATGTTGCATCTGTTAACCCCAAACTTCCACTCCCTCCTTCCCCTGCACCACCCCGTC